TGAAACCACCTGACTCAAGCCCTGGCACACACAGGCACTGAGTGAACACCTGACACATAGCATGCACTCATGAATGGTAACTTGAGATTCTTTACCAACCGGCCACTGAAACACAACGCTGGTTTAAGTCTCAGAGGTGCTGTTTTCACACCCAGGAGCCTTCTGAAAACAGGCCCAGAAAGGACTTCACTGTGACTCACCTATTATATCTCCAAAAGCTGGTGTCTGCCCTTGTCACCACAGAGACCACAAGTCAACCACTTGTCCGCTGTCCTTCTGAGCTGTCTGGCTTTCTGTGAGGCCTCCAGACGCTGGGCCATTTCCTCGGCAGTCCTTATTACATCCAAGACCAAATGACAACAAAACCCCAATGATACAGCCCAGCAGAACAGAATAGGAAGGGCAGGTGAACGGAGCCGGAGAACATACCCTGACCCCAACACTTCCTATCTCTCTGACTTGGCCATTTTGCTCATATATCAATCCCTCATGGTTAATTATGCCACACATCTCACAGGATTATGGTGAAATTTCTTTAAGCAACATATGCCAAAGTGCCCAGCATGTGGTAGGCACTGAGTCATTGTTCAAACAAAATCTCAAGCATAAGCTGCCCAACTGCTGATGACTAAAGAACACACACTGACTTGTTTTCAGATACCACAGACTCTCTCTGAACTGGCTTCCAGAGAAGTGAGTAGCTGGAGACTAGTCAATTCCCCATCTCCTTCATAGGACAGCCTAAGGCACCCATCCCCTTGGAAGGCTCAGCCTGGCCCACTGTTGTCCAAGCCTTCCTACCTGCCCAGGGATGCCTGTGCTTATTTGGAATTCACTGGCTTGATTCCCAACCATGTTTACGCAAGTATACTGATAATGGCAAGCATAAACTCCAATGAAATGCTATGTAAACGAAAGATGTTTAGGGCAAAAGAAGTCACTCTTTGGAAAAACTCAGTGACCACTTAGGAAAGACTGACCAAATACAGATCAAACTAAAATCATAAAATTAGGCAAAACCAAAACCACACAACATTAAGTGGGAATTTTCAGAAATCTTTGAAAGTCTCTTTGTCCTCAGTTTGAAAGAAACAAATAGGAAACCATAAACTCTGGCTGTGGCTTAAGTCAACTTGGAACTCAAAGACCAGTCCTTAAACCTATATCCAAAACACAGTGAACACATAAACATATGTCCTTATAAAATAAAACCTTCAATAGATATCACTTGTATGATGCTCCAGTTTATTTGACTTTTCCCGTTACAGGGTCCCAGTCACATTGGCTGAGAAATACAAGAGATTTCCAGTTGAAACATAGCCCAAACATAGCCCAAACATAGCCAAACACAATCCAGACAAACTAGGTTCTCCCACCTACATTTTATATCATCAAAAGCTTTATCCAAATTTTCTAGAGTTCTTTAATTTGTGAAAACGCTCTTCCTCTTCACCTTCACAGGATGGACACCAATCCAGTGCCTTCAGGAACCTCCTGACACCAGCCTGGCTTCCACTCCCTTAACGGCAGCTCCGAAAAGAGAGCCCAGGCTGGCCCAGTTCACCTGGAATGCTGGGCACAGTGTAGGTCCACAGTAAATTCTGTTTATGCCCAAATAATAAGGCAAGAGGTTTTCCCCACCAGAAAAAAAATCACTCAAAAAATTAGAATTGTCTTACAATGGAGTTCTTATGAAAGCATATTAAAAAGTACTCTGTAAATTACTCAATTTTGAACCACAAAAAAACTTTTTAAAAAACATGTTGCCCAGAAACACCTCGACCAGTGCTAGTTGGGGGTGTTACAGGGGTCACCTCACACAATGGTAAAAACAAAACAAAAACAAGTCAGGCTGAGAAACTTAGCACACATTTAGCAATTGTAAGGGTTGGATGCTTCTGTTAAGACAGGACTTTTTAAAAGATCACTTTCAGAAGCAATGCAGAACAGCAAGTATTTCCCAACAGGCAAACAAAGAAACCAACAATCCTAACTGTGGGCAGTGGGTACCTGTAACTTGGTATAAAATTTCCAGGGGAAGCATAATTAACTGATTCAAAAACTGCCTCATCTCAAATAGCTCAAGTGAAAGCAGAGCTGAGAGGTTCTGCTCACCAGGCTAGAGGATTCCAGGCAGCTCTGCTAAGAACCAAAACCTTGACGAAAAAGATGCCAGTGAGGAGTGTAGAAAAATTTTTTCATGAACTCCAGGTAGAACCAAACAAGAATCAATCCGTTCTATACATAAGGCAGAACCAATGTCTAATTGTAAGTAAATATCCAATCTACGCAGATATTTATCTACATATCTACAATGTTTACATATCCCAGTTGGCCCAAAAAAAGGTCTGAGGAGCTTCTCACTAGGAAAATTGGAGACGGTCTTCTACTTACAGTCCACCTTCTACTAAGGCATGTATCGTATTTGCTGAATCATGACACAAGTGCACATCTATTAACATGCGGCAACCTCCAGCATGCAGCCTTGCTATGCCGTCCAACAGACAGTGAAGTATCAAAAGCCTATTTGGAAGTAATTTTCAGCTGAAGTGTTTGCCTGCCAAATTTATAGGGTTGCTTAACGTGCAACACTCCATGCAGGACTTCTGGCTGCCCAAGAAGACTCCCACTGATTTAAACATCAGTGAGTAAAAAGCTAGAAGATCCCATGATCCCCCACCGTCACTCCTTTCGCCTTTTGGAAAACGATAAAATATTAATCAAAAATTGGATTTAACTCAGACTTCCTGGAACCCACCAAGCTTTGTCCTTAGGAGGTGAGCCTGTGAAGAAAGGGGTCAGGGTCACACTCGGTTAACACAACAAAAAGAAAGCGAGTGCATTCTAAAGTTTCCCTGAGGCTCAGACAGCCAAAAACCCTACATATGCCTATAGAGAAAGTCCACCAATAATCCCAAAGTCCAGAGAACAAAAAGTTACCACCCCGTTAGTGTCATTGCTTAAAGTTATAAGTTCAACCTCTTTGACAATTTTTTTTTTTTATGCTACAAATGCCACAGAGTTGTTAGGAGCTGCCTCAGGCTACCCGCCTTTCAAATTTCAGAGGTTACCTCCTAACTTTCCAGATCAAACATAATTCACATAAAATGAAGTGGGAGGACATTTGTAAATACACGCTCATCAAAATGTCCTAGTGTTTAACTACAAACATCTTCCCAAAAACCAATCAGTTTTCTGAGCATGAGGAGGTAACCTGCTTATTCTGCAAACAGACCTTTAATTATAATACTTTAAATGAAAATAACAAGGACAGGAGAAAAAAAGTTTGAAAATCTGGAACAAGCATACTCATAACTGGATTTAAGCACAATTAAAACCAAAGAAAAACTATTTACCTGCCTTCCCCCCCCCCAACCCCACAGCAATGATTCCTTGACTATTCATGATTGCCCATTCTTCTTCTACCCAATACCTACAACAAAACCATTTAGCGGAAGACCAAAATTTTAATCAAGTTACTTGAGCACAATCCCTATCAAATCTTAGTTTTCACTAAGCTGTGTGGACACAGGGTAATCCTTGGGAAGCTAGGCCGAAAAATAAAGAAATTAAAGGAGAAAAGAGGACTTTTCTCCTGTGATCTGTAGGAAACACCCAGTTTGGTAAAGTAGGGCATTTACCTCTAAAGCTCAACACCCAAGGGCTTAAGTTCCTAACCTCAAAGATGCTGTAGTACTGAGTAATTCAGATGGTTAGAATTTTCCCAGCTTCTTGGTATTACACACATTGGAAGGATTGTTTAAATTGTTTATGCACCACCAGCTACTTAACTGGTCAAAAGCAGAGAAAGTTGTGTTTTCCAAAATGAATGATAATTACAACAGATCAATAATGGGTTATTTAAATAATAATAATAATAATAATAATAATAATAATGGGTTATTTTACCTGCAAATGGAATTTTCTACATTTAAAGAAAATACAAAACGTGAGTACTTGCTTCTCATTTAAACCAGCATCCCATAGGCTGCCCTCCCCACTCCACAATAATAGTAGTAGCAGGGGTTGTGAAGTGATACATTCCAAATAGCTTCTGAAACCAAATCCCTGAAACCCCAAGATAAAGTCTTCTACTAAAGCAGAAACAGTGAAAGATGCCCTATAACGTAGTTGCAAACAAAAAACTCAAATAATGTCCCACCTGGGAATGCGACCTCCACCTAAGAACCCAAAGAGGTCTAGGCCTTGCTGGCAGACCAAGTTCAAGAAGGGCTGAACCAAACATTCCCTCCATCTCCAGGTTAACTTATTCTTCCCTCCTGTTACCTGGAGTTTGTATTTTATGTTCTTCCAACCCCAGTCACACAATTCCCTCTGCTCCATCCTCCCTGGCCAGACATGCAGGCAAGAGGCCCAGAGTCTCCCCAATGGCCAGAACCCAGGAAACACCGAGCACTCACTTTACACACACACACACACACACACACACACACACACACACACACGCAGACCAGCGGAGGTGTGCAGAGGGCTAGTATGGGGTCCAGAGGAAGAAGACGCTTTCTGGGGAGATGGGAGGAGCCAGCAAAGTTAAAAAAGGTAGAGAAACAGGCCCTGCTAGCAGAGGGGCTACGGGGACTAGAGGTTAGCAGGAAGGCGTTCCCACCCTGGGGGAGATGGGGTGTCCCCACATATGAACAAGTGGCACGGTTCCCTAGGACCGCATGCTGGCACGGAGGAAGTGCAGGTGGTGCAGAAAAGGATTCCAGAGAGAGGGGATGGATGGACAGCAGGTGCAGACAAGCAGTTGAGAGAGAAGGGGACAGGATGGGGGTAGGGACACCGTGCCCAAGAGTTGGCAAGCGGGACTCATCACTGCCCCCTACACTGACGGCCCCCCCACTCTGGTGCCCCTGCCCCTCATCACTGCCCCCGACACCCTCGCTGCCCCTCATCACTGTCCCCTACGTCACTCCCCCCCACCCACCCACACACACACACACACACAGATACGGTGGCGCCGCGAGGCAGGTACCCACCTTGGCCACGGGCGCGCTCCTGCTGGTCGCCAGCTCGCGCAGGCTGGCGGTGGCGTTGCCGGCCCCCGCAGGGAGGAAGACCGGGGAGCCCGGGGCGCTGCCCGCCGCGCCGCCGCCGCCCCCGCCGCCGCCCCCGCCCCCCGCGAGCGCCGAGGCGGCCCCCGAGCCAGGGCCAGGGCCCGCGCCCGGGCGCGCGGGGGGGCTCCCGCCGGGGCTGGGGCTGGGGCTGGGGCTGGCGCCGGCGCCGGCGCGGGGCCGCTGGCGGATGCCGTCCAGCAGGCGCACCAGCAGGATGTTGGCCGGCAGCTCGTCCACGCCGCAGCCCACCAGGATGCGGCACTCGGGGCAGCGCAGCTCGTGGCGCGAGCACACGATGCTCTCCAGGCAGCGGCGGCAGAAAGTGTGCTGGCACGGCAGCACCTTGGCCGTGGTGTCCAGGCGCTCCAGGCACACCGAGCACTCCAGCAGGTCCAGCAGCGACGACTCGTCCATGTCCTCGCCCGCCGCCCGCCGCCGCCGCCGCTCGCCGGGCCTGTCGTCGTCGCCCTCGCTCTGCGCAGCAGCGGCGGCCGCCTTGGACGCGCACAGCCAGGACGCTCCGAGCAGCATGGGGAGGCGCCGGCGGCCGCGCGCAGCTGCCTAGGTCCCGGGGCCGGAGCGGGGGCCGGAGCGGGGCCCGCCGCGCGCAGCGGGCATCGGGGTCGCGCCGGAGCGGCCGCCGGGGAGCCGCGCGCTGCCGGGACCGCCTTGAGCCCGAGGGGCGCCCGAGGCTCGGCCGCGGCGAGCGGGGACCGGGGCTCCGCGCCCCGCGGGCCACGTCCCTCCGGGCGGAGCCCACCAGTCGTTCGGCGCGCGGCGCCCTGGTGGCGGCCTCACCTGCCGGCCGGGTGTCCGCCCACCCCGCGCGGGGCCCGGGGCACCGCCCGGCAGGCGTCAGCGGGCGCCGCGCCCAAAGCGGAGCCCCGCGGCGGGAAGCGCCGGCGGCCGCCGGTCGGGTCCCCTGGGAGAGCGGGGCTCGGCGTGCGCGCTCCCCCGCGGCGCCTCCATGCGCCCGGGGCCGGGCGGCGAGCCCCTGCCCCCAGCGGGCTGGGCCGGACCTTCCTCCTCCTCCTCCCTCCTCCTCCTCCCTCGGCCGCGAGCACGTGCGCAGGGCGCGCGCGGAGGTCACGCCGAGGGAGCCGAGCCGCCGAGGAAACGCTGCGCCCGCCGGACCTCCCCGAACCCCGGGCTGGGCGGGGGAGCTCCGGGGCCCCGGGACCTCCGCGCGCCCTCCCGGGCAGGCTCGGCCGCGTCGCCGCCGGCTCTCCGCGAACCCCGGACAAGGATGCTTCCTCCCAGGCGGCCGCCCAGGAAAGTTTGGGCGGCGTTACCCCGACCGCCTTCGTCGCCGGCGCCGGCTCGCAGCTTGGGAGCTCAGCCAACACCCGGGCATCGCCCCGACGACGGCCCCGAGCGCCCGCCGTGCGGCCCCTTGCAGGGGGCGCAGAACGGACCGGCCTGCAGCGGCGGTGTGGGTGCGGGGGCCCCGCCGCGCAGGCGGCCGGGGGAGGCGGGGGCCCCGGGCGGCTCGGACCCCTGGCGGCGGCGGCCCGCGCTCCCCGGAGCCGCCGGCCGAGGACCCGCACGCCCGCACCCCGCGCAGGGCACCGGCTGCGGCGCAGCCCGCGAACCGGCTCTGGTGTCCCCTCGGCAGGCGCAGAGGCAGGGGGGACCCGCGCTCCCTTCCCGACGCCCCGGCTTCTGCGAGCGTCAGAGCAACGGAAGTACGTACGGAGGACCCGGAGCAGCAGGGAAGTTTGGCCGCGCGCGCGGGCTGGGGTCGGCCGCCGAGATTCCCTGCAGCGCGCTGCCCCCTCGTGGCCGCGTCAGGTTCCCAGCCTGGCCCGCCCGGCCCGTGCCCAGCTGGACGCGGCGCCTCTCTCCGTTAGGGCCGGAGGGGCGGCCTGGGCCCGCTCACCGGGTCAGGCAGACGTGGGGCGTGTGAAATTAAGCGCGCCCTATCCGACTTTCCAGGAAGAAAGTACCATTTGCTGAGGCTTAGATGCTGACAACTTGCCTACGTATTACTTTGTTTAATCCTTTTCTAAAACAGCCCCGTGAGATGATTATTTTAGACTCATTTTACGTGTGAGGGAAATAAGGTTTATAGTCATGAAATCATTGAGGCTGAATTTTGTTGGTTTTTGTGTCTCCAGAACCTAATACATACTAAGATCCCATTCCACTGGCATATAGAATATGGAGCTTCCCTATGAGCTACATATTTTTACACCGTTAGAACCCCCGTGCTAGGACAGTTCTTGGCACATAGTAGGTGCTCGCTAAACCTTTATGGAGTTAATGAAATGAAGGTCTCAGAGTCATCACCTAGTGCTGTTTTGAACGTGCATCTTAACATCTCAATTCCAGGTATTGGAATTGAGCTCTTACATACCAGGTTGCCAGTTCCTAGAAACTTGGTGCCTGCTTTGCGGATGTCTCTGGGTGGTGTGGATTTCAGTATGTATTAATCACATGAGCACTGGCAACCGTGTGAGATGGGTGGCATTCCTGCACTGCCTGGCTAACTGGTACCTGGGAACAGACTTCCAGGAGGGCCAGAGGGCATGTCACAGTGCCCAGAAGCACATTCACATCATCCTCCTTTTACTCTTTGACCCTCCCTCAGGAACAACAAAGTGGAATTTTTGAGAGGGCACAGAATGCTTGATCCAAAAGCAGGTGGCGTGGATACAGGGCGCAAGGGGGGAACCTGAGACACTGGCAGGTTTTGCACAGAGTAGGGGCCGCTCGTGATGACATGCCTCGGGTGCTTTTGGTAGCAAACAATAGAAACCAAGACAGGTTTGAAATGAGGAGAATGGACCTCACAGAACCCCAGGCTAAGAGCTGGGCCAGCTTACAGCAGAGGGACCACAGCGTGTTTTGCTCTCCACATTTCCCTATATGATGGTAGTCTCTTTCTTGCACTAGCTGCCTCTATTTCCCAACCCACGTGATAGGAAACACTCTCAAAGCTCCAAAAGCATTTAATCCAATGGCACTGTCACACGCTGGAAGTTTTAAAACCATATCACCTAGCTTGGTGCAGATGGTCACTCTATGCACTACTGTGTGCTGGCCACAGGAGCAGGATCATCCACAACCTGGCAGCATCCTCAGGTGCCACTGAGCCCCACCTTTCCCAGACCTCCTCTGCTTCCACTCTACCCTTTTTAGCTCCTGCCTTCACCAGCTCCCGCAGCAGACAGGTTGTCATCACAAATGGACACAGAGGCTGCACAGGGCATGGAAATTCAGGAAGCAGTGCAAAGTGGGTGAAGCGATAGAGCATGGTGGGCCCTGCAGTGAGCAGGGTCTGCTGTACCTTGCAAAGCGGGCAGCTGTCACTCAGCTGCAGCCAATCACACCTGGCCTCAAGGAAAGGAGAGCCTGGTATTGCCAGATCTTTCAACTTTTCAAGAGGAGTTGGAAGGCCTGCTCGTTATGTGAGATCTCCTGATGTTCAATAGTTGGCAACCAATTCAGTTCTCAACAAAACACCATATTAAAGCCAAACAAAATGAATGCGGGGCCAAATTGGCCCACAGGCCACCAGTTTGCAATTTGTGATAGAGGTAGCCAAGTAAAATGTACTAACAGTGTAAAAGAACTTAAGGGTGTGAACTAAATAGTTGACGTATTACAAATACAGTGTTATATTACTCGGTTAAATGTGCACATGTTCAATAAGGCAATTATATAAGTCAATGATTGAAAAGACCTGGCTTAACAGCCACTCATAGGAAAAGATCTTGGGAATTGAGTCGACCACAAGCATAATATGAGCCAACATGAGTCATCAATACAGTATGACTGCCTAGAAAAGTAATGAAATCTTATAATGCATTAATAGAAGTTAAGGGACTGAGTATGGAAAGAAATAATCTCATCATCCCTTAGGCTTGTCAGACCCCATTTGCAGGATTACTTTCAATTTTGGGTACCAAATATTAATGACAGGTGGTAATTAGATCTAGAGGCCTCACCCATGAATTTAGGATGAAGGAAGAGAAGGTGTCTGTCCAAAGAAGAGAAAGCCCGGAGGAAACAGGATGGGTAGCTGTGTGTCAAGTTTTTGGCTGTCCAAGAGCTGAACTCCTTCTTAGGTTTGGGAGATTATCCACTTGATGAAATTTGTTTTTCCAGCTGGGGTGTGGGGATGTGACTCAGGCTCTGCCATTTGAGAGCTGCCCCCGCCCACCCGCTACCCCGTGCCCTAAGAGGTGGAAGGAAGGTGACAGATGCAGCATCAGGGGCAGGGGCGGGAGGACGGCAGGGGGAACCACGAGGTATCTCAAGGAGAGGGGCTAACTGTTGTCACCAGAGCAGCCCCAGCATGATTGGCCTTGTGAGCCTGGGCCGTGGCCTCCATTGCTTTGCCAGCTTTCCTGGTGATCCTATGGATGTTCCAGTTTTCCTTAATTCGTTCCTTTTTTGTTAAATCAGCCAGTCTGTTTTTGTTGTTTGTGAGAAGGTGCCCTAATTGATATGCATTATTTATTATAAACCAGAGACTGGGGAAGACCCTCAAGATGAGACCATTGTCACTGTGCTGAACTGTAAGTCCTCTTGGTCTTCATGCTGGAAAGGCATCAAAGTGAGCCACCCGGAGCACTGTTCATTCATTCAACAAGAACTTCTTGAATGCGTTGGACAATGCAGTGCCCGCAGACCAGGACAGGCTGTGTGGGGCAGGGAGGGGAGCCTGTTCCTGCGAGTGCAGGAAGCCCAGCAGGGTCAACTCTTCGCAAGTGACATCACTTCTGTGAACCTCAGTTACGTCTTCTATAAACCGGAAGGCAAAAATATCTCACCTCTTTAGAGGCTTTGAGGCCCTTGAAATCTCTTAAGATTGAATGAAATATTAGAAGGGATGTTGGGTGCTCGCTTCGGCAGCACATATACTAAAATTAGAAGGGATGTTGGTTTTTGCCTTGTTACTAGGAAGAAAAGTAAAATGAACTAAAGTTACAGGGAGGCAGTTTCCAGCTGAACATAGAGAAGGGCTTCCTGATAAGGTCAAGTTGTCCAGTTACAGCATTGGCAGTCTTGTGAAGTGGGATCCCCAAAAGAAAGAATTCAGGCACAAATCATGTCTGTAAAGAATCTGCTAAAGCACCTCCGGTCGGCCCAGCACTGCTTTCTTTGGTGAGCCCACCAGCCCTGCCTGGTGCACTTGGCCCTCATAGACCGCTGCTCACTGTGCCTATACCTGGGTCCCCCCAGCGGGTCTTGTGGCCGAAGCTGGCCAATCAGAATCGCTCACCCCTTGAAATGATTGGTTCCAGGCAGGCACTTGCCTCAGCTGCACCTGAGATTTGGCAGATAGCTACAGGTATTGAAGAAGAGGGAGTTCTTTCTTCCCTTTGGATTCTGAGCCTTAAAGATGTAGACACCAGGATTGCAGGGGCCACATTTCCTCCCGTGTGTGGAAAGCCTGCTGGAGGGTAGGTGGGGGTCCATGAATGAAACTATACCTGAAGCATATGTGAGCCATGATAAACCTGCTTTTGTTGAAGATAGTTCAAGCTGGGTGTCTGTCACTTGGAACTAAGTGAATTTCAACC